ACGCTTAGCAGGATCCAGATCCTAAGTGAATGCACGGGTGAGCGAGTATTTTTGTAATCTGGATCCTGCTACCGTTAGCTGCCGTGTATGAACATAGCCAAAGTTTAAATCACCATTGAGTGTTTAGGATTTCTCTGTACATCATTTATTTTATGCTCTTCCAAAGAGATTAGTGTTTGGCATATTTTGAGCTCCATGATTCGTAATTTTTTAACTTTATTCATGTACAACAAGGACTTTCATCGGTACCTTGTTTACAGATCAAATAACCTACTGTCTAGTGTGGGCCTATATTAGTATAACAGTGATTGTGTCAATAAGTGATTAGCAGGTTCTCTTTGTGATTATCAGGTCGTATTGACTCGGAGTCAACGTTGCTCCAACGTGTGGATAAGTGGATGGCTTGGATTTGTCTGTAGGCAATGTAAATTGAAAATGATGCAGAAGATGCGTAAAAAACAGATACAGTTCCATTCGGGCTAGTTGCTCCCCTACACAAGAACGACGGCCTGCGATATAAAAAACAAAAAACAAAAAACAAATATTTAAAAAGTTGTTGATCTTATTGATAATGATAGCTGTCACAGTGGTGGTGGCGCACTGGCGTTGACGTTAAGGAAAAACGGAAGATAATTTATTTTCCTACAGTAAGCAATACTGTACTTACCGACCGAAAACGGAATCAATTCTTCGTATTTGATCAGTTTACCATTGCCATCAATGAATCTTTCCGGTCTAAATTCTTCTGGTTTTGGCCAGGTTATTTCATCATGCATCACTGCCCAAATGTTTGGAATCACAGTAGTACTTTTTGGTATGAAGTGCTCCTTATACATCGTGTCATTCACTGTACAATGTGCCACTCCTATGATTTTTAATTGTGTAAGGAATGTACAAGTTCATTCCATTATAATGTATATTGTTATTGTTGTTAATATTATTACTATTGTTATACATTATATCTAATCATTTGTGACTAATATTAATATATTTAGATCAAGGTAATTCAACATAATTGCCATGCCTAGACTTAGTGCTGAGTTCATTAAATCATGTAAGCAAATTGAAAACAATTTACCTAGTGGAACTGCAGGTCGGATTCGTGTGACTTCCATCATTACAGCCTCACAGTACACAAGCTTCGGTTGGTCTTTCAAAGTTGGAAGCTGTCTCCTGCCAGTTACTGAATCCAATTCTTGGTGTACCTTGGCCTGGATTTCTGGGTTAATTGCTAAGTACAGCAATGCCCATTTTAATGTTGTTGCAGTCGTTTCTGTACCAGCGACGAAAAGTTCTGTAACGATCTGTATTGCTGACTCGTCATCAAAGGCGTCAACATTTTCCCCACTACTTTCAAGCTCCGATCTAGCTTTCAGAAACTCATCGATAAAATCACGTGGCTTGTTGATCTGAATGGTTCTTGCATGTTCTTTCAATTCAAAATTAATGAATTCGTTTACGAACATTTCAACATTTCTGAAAACCTTGTTCCAACCACTTCCAGGAATGAATCTCATAAATGGTATGAAGTTCAGAGCGCCAGACTGTGATACAATTTCCAGATTGGCATAGAGTATGCTCAGAAATCTTTTAAATTGAGGATCGTCATACTCATATCTTTTCCCAAATACAATTCCGCACGTAACGTTTGAAATGGCATTTTCAATGATATGCTTCGGATCATATCTCACTTTCGTGTCTGCAACCTGCATTAGCCTAGCCTTCATATAGTCTATTTCGTTAACAATGGTACTTTCAAAACTGGATTTTCCCATTCCGAAGTTACGAAGCATTTTCATACTAAATCTTCTTTTTTCCTTTAGGTTGAGATGCAGGTATCCAGATGCAATACCTGTTTTGCAAAATAATATTTTTTTTTTCAATTTATAATTTTTGCTTTATGATAAATGGTAAGATAAGTGGGGGCGTGTATATTCAACATTGCAGTACCCGCTGCTTACTTGGACTCGACTTGAAACCCTGTCCAGCAGGCGCAAACTCGGTAGTCTAGAGGTATGATGCCAGGCTAGTGATCTGGAGATCGTGGGTTGGAGTCCCACCCGAGAACAACTTGCGATTTCTTTCGTCAGGTAGGACAAAATTACACCTATAATGTTGAACATGTCTTTATTTTTTTAAATTTTTTATATTGTTCTTCTTGTAGATGCACTGTCTAATGCTTTGTGTCTCTGTTTTAAAAGGGTATACCGTACCTAATATCTGAATAATTATATTGACCTATCTAAATATTTATAAAACTCTTCGTCCAAATTTTCTCTGTTTGAATGCTTAAAAGACTACTTATCGAATAAGAGAGAGTCATAACGAAAGAAGTCATGTCATAAAACCTTGTCTATTATACTTTTTTACTATTTTTTCAGGACCCCAACGGAAATAAACCTATGTAATTGGTTTTCTTGGGCTATCCTGGTCGATACCAACTTCTTGTTTTTTCATCTTTCATTTTTTTCAAAATTTAACTTTAATTATGGTACAGTGTTTTTCGTACAATTTCAATAATGGTACCACAGTAGTTTTTTGACCTTTTTAACATTTTGTATTTGTTCTGATACATCTCAATACTGATTTTTTTTTTATTAACTGTTAACATAATTTTTACCGTTCTTAAATCATTACCTCGTTTCTGTGTATTTTAAAATTTTTAGCCCTTTTATCTTTGAATTTTAACCCCTTTTTTCGATTTTTAAAATATTTCTTAAAGAAATTTTACATATTAAAAAAATGAATTACTGTTTTTAAATGGTTTTATAAGTGGTTTTATTTGTTTTTTCCTTGTATATGTTGATATTGACCAAATGAATAAATGAATGAATGAAAGTGCTTTAAACCCGTTCATGATATAATCAATGCTACTTTACGCGTAGTATGATTTGCCTTTCGTTTAATGTGAACTCGTACACATTGCTCTAGAGTAAACCAAAATTCAATCAAGCTACGCACTGCACACTACGATCTCAAAAAGTTCTACATTTATCAGACCTAGGATATGTAAACCAGAAATTGGATGCCTAGCCTTACCTTTGCCATGACTTATTTGATCATTGACTATAAGTTTTGGACGATCATTGAACGTGTCTCCCGATTTTGCAAACATTTGCTTCATCGATTTGTAATCGTTGACAAACACTACAAGTTTTGTTCCAAGGTACGCCGAAAATACAGAACCGTACTTTTCAGCAAGCTTCATAAATAATTTTTGTGGTTGGTTTCCAACGAAAGGCAGAATTCCAACCACGGGTAGGCCCCATGGTCCGGGAGGCAGATTGCGGCGTAGGTCTTTTGTAAAGTAGACAAGAATCAGTAAAGTTGTAAATCCAGCGACGACTGTTTGGATGTTGATTCTGGAGAGCAAATCCTTGTAGACCACCTCCATTTTGAGTTTGCGGAATTAGTGGCTGGTGGTTCCTGTACTTTGAATCACAAAAGTAAAGTAAGATACTAAAGCTGCGCTTGCGCATAACGTGTATATATTATGTGTTTATCAAAGAGTATAAATAGAACAAGAGAGCAAAGTCCCGTTCGTAAAAACGTCATGCCTGTGTAGGACGCCCACTAACGGTTGTATATTCTTTTTATTTCGCAGTGCGCGATTTTTTTTCCCGTACGAAACATTTATATGAAACTTCACTCGGGCCATCTCGGATTGACTCGAGTGAGTACGATACGAGGAACAAGAGCAGACACTTCGCAATGTCGTGACGCTCGAGTTTAACTATTATTGCTCTTTCTATGTTTACCTTCGGTTGGCCTATGAAATTTCACGGACTTATGTGATGTACGTCACTGTGTAACTAACTGTGACCTTCTTGGATGTTATTAAATGTTAGTATATTATCTACAACAACAACAGCTAGTACCTCCTGTTATAAAGTGTAGATAAGTACAGTTATACCAAAGGCTAGAGAGAAAGAGGATAAACTATAGGCCTAACTACAGGCTGAGGTCTTACATAGGCCCCTCCTTAAACTAGGCTAGGGTCATAGGCTGACACAACAGTCACGCTTCACATACTGACATGGACTGAAATTTTGGGGGGAAAAATGGCACAAAATTGAAGCATGAAATGAAAAATAGAGCGCATAAGAGAAATATTAAATAAATAATATACCATTCCGGCGTTATTGAACTTGTCCAAACTATCAATGTAATGTAATTAATGTGAAATAATAATAATAATTTCAGCATTAATTACCTTTGGCCTAAGCCTTGTAATGAAGAACCTACATATACTGTACTATTTACTAGGCCTATAAATAATAATCGCCCAAGGGGAATATCTTTTGTGTTATTTCCCCTTAACGTCGTTTTTTTAATTGTCCTCTAATTCCTCCATTGTCTAAGTTCCACTTAAGGTACAGGTAATAATAATTAATTAATTAATAATAATAATAATCATTTCAGCATTAATTACCTTGGCCTACTTGTAATGAAGAACCTATTAGTATTTCAAGGCCTATATAATAAACTAGCTCAAGGGGAATATCTTTTGTGTTATTTCCCCTTTGTCTAAGTTCCCCTTAACGTATAGGTAATAATAATAATAATTATTATCATTTCGGCATTACATGTAATTAACTTGCTCTAGCCTTGTAATCAAGAATCTGCCGATTACTATGCCTAATATTAATAACTAGATCATTTTTACATTCATTTGGTGCTCTGCCATTTTGGCAGGTCTTATGGCATCCAGTATTTTAGAGCTGCCTATTCTCAGCTCTATTCTTAATTTGAAAATAACTGTCATTCTGTTTCATTTGATCACGTGATGAAGAAAAACGCGCTTTTCCTTACACTTTGTGCTTTTCCCAGAAAGCGTTTTTAGTGGGCCTACTTGTAGGCCTAGGTAATTATGCAAAACCCAGGCCTAACTAAAAAATTAAAATTGTCATAATATGTAACTCAAGTTAAAATAACACTTTTCATTACTCGTGCAGCTTAATATTATATGTCATTTTAAACGACCCATTGGTATTAACATGGTAACATCAATGTATTTTTAAAAATCAGACAGCGACGTTCTCTCAGAAGTTGGTTGTTCTGTAGACGTTTATCTGTTGATGACCTTTTGACCTCCTGAATTCTGCAATTAGATTTTCGGGTCGATTCAGCCGAGACGGCCCGAGTGGAGTTTCATGTAAATGTTTCGTACGGAAAAAAAATCGCACCCAGTGCAGCGCTGCGCAGCGCGGTAGAAGTACGCCCGCTATAAACTAAGTAAGCAGAAAACAAAGATCTTATAAACACAAGATAGCGTTCTCCGCGATTTAGGCGTAACAAATAGAAGCGTCGGTCAAGGTTCAAAAGTTTCCCATTTAGCAAGAGGGCGTCATTCATGCGCTATTACCGAAGAGAAAAAGTAATAAGTTTTGGAAGAGGGCGTCCTATCTGTTGCCATGGATCTGAGATGGTTCCTGTTC